CATGATAAAAATGCACTTTTAAGTACTAATCATCTAGCCCCTGCATTTCCTTTATTGTTCCTATCTCCCCTCAACATTTCCCGCTACAAATAGCCAACCTCATATTCAACCTACAGCAAAGCACCCCATTTCCGTCCTATAGCTACTCACAACAAACGCCCTGCCAAGACTTCCCCCCCAAATAAATCTTCATCCCTTTTGCTCTCCCTTCCCTCTCTCGACTGCACATAAACCGGCCTCCCTCTGCAACCGGACAACGACAGCAAAAGCCAACCAACGCTGCCACCAACCGGAGTGAAGACCATCTAGTAGCAGCCCACACATGGTCGTTCCCCCTTGGTCTTGCCACCAACTGAAACATAGAAGAAGACAAAACCAAGAGAAAAGTAGTTCCAAAAGGAAAGAGAAGCAGATATGAAACGAAGGAAAGAAAAACTAAAATCAACTACTTGTTACGTTTTTAGGTGTTTTGCAGGTCACACCGACAAGGACGAGAAGAGGGGAGGAAGTTGTGAGTGACCCCTACTTCACGCGCCGCCACTATATTGCAACTTCAGAAGTCTGCCTGACACTGTTCTGGTGGTGTAGAAGGCTTTCCCTGCAATTCTAGATTTTTTTGGGGCTATTATTGTAATTTTAAATTGTTTAATGTAATTTTTGTTTAGTTTTAAATTTTTTATAATTTGTAGTGTGGATGTAAAAAAAAAAAATTATGAAAGTGAATATGTTTGCTTTTATTTTTTTGTGAATGCTTTTTTATGATAAAATTGCAAAGAATAAAGAAGAATTTAATATTTTGATTTATTTATGCTCAAGAATTATGAACTTACATGTAAGTCGTATTTCTAATATCCAATGAAAAAACAAAATTTTAAAAACTTCTTTAACACATCAAAGTTACGAAGCAGCTTATCTTAGGTGGGGTGAGTTAGGGATGTTAATACATTCCCTAATTACAACTAGTTCCTTATCTGTGAATCTCTGATAAGACCAGTATACCCGGGTTTCTTAGTAGCCCTCAATTAAACACTAGGTGACGACTCCCAAGAACAAATTAAATCAAACAAGAACAAAAAATCACCAAGCAGACGCCGCGCAGGTGAGGTGCGACAGCGAGAATGATTAAAGTGGCAACTAGAATTAAAAAAAAAAAAAAAAGATCTTTTAGCTACAGTACTAAAGAAAAACAAGCATTAACAACCTCAACAAACTGAAAAGCAATACTAGCAACCATCCTGAATGATAAGAAACTATTCATGAAAGTGCAAAATCATGTAGAATAGAACCTGGAATCTATAAAAAACAAAAGAGACCGGATTGCAAGAGTTATCAAAGACTCTCTTGTTTCACTCTTCCCAAATCAAGTAGATAAGAATATCGCATTCTGGTAGTAGTGTTGCTTCTGTCATAAGGAAGATCATAAATTGCACCATTAATGGTCGACATTCTTTTGTGCTGATTTATTCATAATTTTTATTGGTGGTTCATGTAAATTATTATTGGATGACTTGTAATTTGTGACAACCTAACTTTTAAAAAATATTCAAAGCCTAAGAAGATCGGATCTTCAAATAATAAATTCTTATACAATTCTAGATAGTTTAACATGATTCTAAGAACTCTTGAATAATTTTATTTTATTACTTTTCCTACATGCTTGATATTCGAGAACCCAACATGTCGAGCCAATAGAATATGCATTAAAAAGGGCCTAGATTCCATAGAAACTTCCTTGATTCGATCCAGGGCATTACTACAATAGATCTGGGAATAATAATAATACTCCACCAATTTCATCTTGAATCGAGGATCTAAGATGGCTGCTACTGCCAAACCTAAACTGCACTTGCTTCAATATCTATCAACTTGACTTTCATCTTCGATGCCATGGATCTAAGAAATGTTTAAAACACTATACACTCAAGTATTTAACTTCTCAAGCTCTTACTCATTTACATTCTAACACACAGCAACACGCACAATTCTGAATACAAGGCAATTGTATTTATAGAGAGATTAAAAGAGCAATACTTCAGCAATTGATCCCAGACGCCCTTTTTCATTCATAATTCGTCTTTTATTCTTGTCATGAATGGATAAATTGAGTATTACCGTTACAGAATTCTCTTGTGCGACGGAGTTTGCAGAAGACAGCAGTTTACGAAGGTGAAGAATTGCACCAGCTTCTACAATGAAAGCTACTCTTGCTGGCTGATAAATGAAAAGTGTTATTGTTTGTCAGCTGGCTTCAACTGCAGCTTTGGAAGGCATTGCTGCTTCAAAAGCCTCCATAGATGAATCTGTATTCTCTCTCTGAATTTTTTCCTTCACTGGAACTGGAACCTCACCATTGACTTCAACCTTTTCAGGTCCTGCTGCCTCTGCAACTGCTTTAGCAGGTTCCTCGGGCTCAGTAGCTCGTCTAGATGCTGCAGCCTTCTTCTTTAATTTCTTAATCAACTATGATTTGTTTTTTATTTCAATATAAAGAAGAAATTAATCAGACTTAATTTTGTTGTGTATTTTGTAGGCACTTGGATTTACCAAATCAGAAAGTGTAATGATCATGGGATTAAGATGTTTCACATAGTCATCAATGGATGCCAAAATATAAAAATGCAAGGAGTGACGCCCTCAGCTTCCCCTAAAAGCCCAGATACAGATGGTATTCACGTGCAATTATATACTGGTGTCACTATACTAAACACAAAAAAATAAAAACACGAGAAAATTTTTATTAATTGGTGTCGGCACCACTAATTTATCTATCGAAAATGTTGCATGTGATCCTGTCATGAATAAGGTAATAAAAACAATTTTATATACATTTCTTATTTGTTTTCTTTGGATTACAAAGGAGAGACTCGAAGCTGATATCTGTAAGGGAGAGGAGGGGCATGGGTGATAGCTCGACTACAAACTGCATAATTAACTCATAAACATTTCTTTGAAAATTACTGTGGTAACTATAGTAAGATTTTTTGTCATTAAATGGAGCAATGGGAGTCTAAGCAAGGATCTTGAAGAGCCTGGTGTGCAAAATGAGATGGTTAAAAAGTTTACTCTCGCAGGTAGCCAAAATGGTTTAAGAATAAAGTCTTGGGGAGACCTAGTAATGGTTTTGCCGAAGACATTCTTTCCCAACTTGTTGCTATGAACAATGTCCAAAATCCAATTGTCATTGATCTAAATTACTGCCATGAAAATAAAGATTGTCCTGGTCAGGTGACATGAATTCTTAATGATCTGAGAATAACAGTGATTCCATTGGAAGATGTAAAACTCACTTAAAGAAATGGACCAGATAACTAGCTATATTGCACCAAATTATTTACTTAAGTGACATTCTTAAAATTTAATGTGCTCTTGATTTCTAAGATTAGCTCCATTGTACAGCAATTTTGAGCAATTACATCTTATAACCCAAAACATTATCCAATTTCCCACATAATTAATTCTTCTCCACTATTCCTACACGTACGTCTCACATGGCTGAATTAACATGTACGAGTGCTCCATACTCAAGAAGAACATGCATGCCTTTTTTTAATCCACCCAAGCAAATTAAACACCTCAACCAGAAACTCCAATTGAAAAGCAAATTACCCATGTTCTTATATAGTTTATACATGCAAGAAAATGAAAAACTAGACGGCATGATCATATTTTGAAGCATATCAAAACATGAGCTTAAGTTATTATACTCAATCATCTAGTTAGTATACGACATACCAGAGGCCTAATCACGTTGAATTAATTCATAAGCATTTACAGATATTAGCTTAAGAAATTATACAAACAACTCATTGACACTGTACATAACACAAATTACGTTATGTCCATGGCAACACGAGTGGAACATGCAATTTCACTTGTTTTGTACGACATCAATATTTAATTCGTATGCTACCTAACTAGTCCGAAACCATATATATATATATGGCTTTAAATATAGATGTTGTGTTCATCTAATTCCAATATCTCCTTTTCATCATTTCTTGAAATTGAAACCGTAAGGATGGTGAAGATAATACTAGTATATTGTGTTCTTTTCCTGTTATTTGCAGCCTCCTACCAAGCATCCAATGTGGTCTACAATGTCGTCAAACTTGGAGCGAAGTCAGACGGCAAGATCGATTCTACCGAAGCATTTACGAAGGCATGGACGCTAGCATGTAGCTCAACATGGCCAGCCATGGTATATGTTCCTCAGGGGAGTTTCTTGATCAAACCTGTAGTGTTTGGGGGTCCATGCAAGAATAAAATATTGTTCTCCATTGATGGAACAATTGTGGCACCATCAAATTACTCGGGTTTCGGCAATTCTGGATTTTGGATTTTGTTCTACAAGGTCACTGGGATTACTGTTTATGGTGGCACTATTGATGCAAAAGGAGGTAGCTTTTGGGCTTGCCGGAATGCTGGAAACAATTGTCCGCCAGGATCTAGGGTATGCTACTTATTAGTATTCTAATTGCATATCATTGAGGTATGGATAACAAAAGGTCTTTAATTTCTTGATTATTCAATGTTGCAGTCCATATCATTTGTGGCATCTAGCAACATCATGGTTAGCGGATTAACATCAATCAACAGTCAAATGTTTCACATTTCTATAGACCATTGCCATAACATTACACTTGAAAACATGAAGATTAGTGCCCCTAGTTGGAGTCCCAACACCGATGGCATACACATGCAATCTTCTACTGGAATTTCCATCACCAACAGTATGATACAGACAGGAGATGATTGCATATCCATAGGTCCTGGCTCCAAGAATTTGAGGATCCATCGCATTGCTTGTGGTCCTGGACATGGAATAAGGTCTATTGATTTTCACTTCAATTTTTTTCTATTTTTCCTGATTGATTAATTCATAATGAGACAAAGCTTATTCCAAAAGAAAAAAACATTTTTCCTTCTAACGTCTTGATAAAACATTCTTTATGCTCTTGCAGCATTGGTAGTCTAGCCCTGCATCAAAATGAAGATGGCGTGGAGGATGTCAAGGTAACGAGTGTTGTTTTCATGGGAACTCAAAACGGAGTTAGGATAAAATCATGGGGAAGACCAAGCACAGGGTATGCTCGAAACGTTGTTTTTGAAAACATTATCATGAAATATGTCTATAATCCAATCATCATTGATCAAAACTACTGCCCTAGTGCCAAAGGTTGTCCTAAGCATAGCTCTGGAGTGAAGATTAGTGGAGTGACATATAAGAACATAAAGGGAACATCTGCCACACAATTAGCAATGAATTTTGTTTGCAGTTCAAGTAATCCATGTAAAGGACTCAAATTGGAAGACATAAAGCTAACGTATTACAAAAAATCAGCCGCTGCCACATCGTTTTGTAAGAATGCAAGTGGGAGCAGTAAGGGACTAGTGATTCCCCCGAGTTGTCTCTGAAGACAAAAGCAAATTATTTCTTCATATTCAAATTCATTGATATTCATTAATAAACTCAAAGAATGTGACTGGATATAATATAAGTGTTATGTATAAAATACAAGAAGAATAATATTTTTTATATATAATAATCAAGAAGAATAATATTTCTATCAATTATTGACTTCCTTTTCTTTTTCTTTCCTTTCTTTTATTTTCTTTCCAATTCCTTTGTTTTTACAAGTCTATATAAATAAGGTTGCAATTAGTTAGTATATTAGGAAAAACATTTTGGGAATTTATTCTCCAACATAAACGTTAATATTGTCAAAAACATTTTAGGAATTTTGTTTTAAAAATGGTTAATAGACATATCAATTTGAGATCAAAATAAAGTAGAGTTCATTTACTTTTGAGGTAAAACTTTGGTGGAATTTATTCTTTAACATAAACATTAATATTTTTGCATGGTACGGCATTGCGACAATCATCTATTGTCATATATTGTACCTATTTGGCAAATATATGAAGACACAATTTCTTATCTTTTATTAGTGGAAAAGAAAATGGGAGTTGTCATATCTAGTATTTTAGTCACTAAGAACCTTAACTAATCTCAGAAAATAGACAATAATTATGTTAAGGTATTAGCACCTCAAATATGCCTTAGGTAAATTGCATTGTTTAATTGTCTAATAAAAAACAAAGAGCTTGTCATGTTTTTTTATTGTTGATCCGTTTATGGTTTAAGAAAAGTCCTCATTGGTAAAGAGATTCTTATCTTATCAAGTAAAAACTAATCGTTTTAATGTCAACAAAATAATTTAATATGTGGAATATGTTTTACGTATAAGGTCGTAACCTCAGATACTAAAAGAAAACATATTAATTTTTTTAAATTTTTTGAAATATTAGCCTAATACTAAAAGAAAACATATTAATTTTTTAAATTTTTTGAAATATTAGCCTAGGTCTCGTGACTTTTATAAACCGGTTACTAAAACTAAAATGCATGCTAAAATATGTTTTTTAAAATTTTCTTTTCATGAAAATACGATATGATTTGTTTTTGGAAACTTGGTCTTATTCAAGAAAACAAGATTTTTTTTTTTTTTTTTTTCAACATTTCGAAGAAAATCAGGTAATTTTCTTTTTTTCAACATTTCGAAGAAAATCAGGTATTTTAATATTAGATTTGTATTTTTATAATACAAAAATACAAACTAATATTACGCAAAATTGATAGAAAAATATATGGGATAATCACAAATTTTTTTGAAAAGATTTTTTGAACTTTTTTGAAATTTTTTGGGCCAAATCAAACCCAGTCCAATACATTTTAGGTCTAGGCCTGACTTGTCCGGCCCAATAAATAATGGAGTAGCTCTCCATTATTCACACAAAATAGTAGAGCAGCCAGGGAATGAAGAAGAAGAAGATGAAAGGGAAAGGGAGGAGGGTTAACCTGTGGTGTTACTAGTGGTGGCGGAGAGGAAGCCAACGATGGTTCACGGAGGTTATTGCGGTGGTGGGTAGTGTTTGCTGCAGTTTTTTTCTTCTTCTTCCCCATGTAGAGGCGCTAACCTCTGTTTTTTTCCCCTTCCTCATCTGCTTTTGTTTATTCTTCTTTATTTTTCTTCCTCTCTCTCTTTCTGGTCCCTCGTCTCTTTCTCTCCACTTTCGTTGTTTTCTTTTTGTTTTTCTTCTCTTTATTCTATTTTGTTTCTCTCCTATCTAGTTTCAAGAACAATCTTCTCTAAATCTTTCAATCTCTAAGCACTTCTCCCCCTCTCTATAAAAATTCCCTCATGTAAAAAATGTATTCTCTTTTGACCCTTTGTTCGTCTCTATTTTTTTCAAAATCTTTCTCTCTTCTCAAAATACTCTCTCCTCTGTTCGTCTTTCTCTCTGCCAAAAATTTCCCTTCTTTTCCCCGTCTTTCCCCCTGTTATTCTCTGTTTTTCATTTCCTTCCCTTTCCTCCTCCTCATTCCTCTTTTTTCCAAATCTTTCTCTCTTCTCAAAACCCTCTGTTTCTTGTTCCCTTCAAAGAAATTTTTGCCCTCCGGTTTGTTCTGCTCCCCCTGCTCTATCCCATTGTGATGCAAGGGGGAACGAGGCTACCTTACCTTTACAAGGTAAGGTGGCCAGCCATTTGCAGGGCATGGGGCCCTTCTCTTTTATTTATCTCGTTGGCAGGGTATGTAGGAGCATGGGCTGTGTTAGGTTTATGCAGGTGGGAGGGGAAAGAGAGAGGGCAAATAGTGGGAAAATAACATTTAAAAAATAGCTTCTGCTTCCCCTACTACACGTCTAAGAGAAGAAGAATAATGCCATTTCAAAACGGCACCATACTATGATTTTCTTTTGGAAAAAAGAAATGAATTTGGAAATAACTCAAAAATAGGTTATGAATAATATAATTTAAAAAATTATAGATGATAAAAGAAACCTTGATTGACATATTTTTTATGAAATCTAAAAACTCTATCTTACATGTTATATCCTAATTTTGTACTCCTTATGTTTGTAAAAAGTATGGAAAAAAAACATGTCTTTTCAATAAATTTAACATATTTTAATCATTTTTATTTAATTTTTATTAAAAATAAATAAATAAATCATAAAAAATAAATATATAAAATATACACATAAACACAAAGTTGGGGTTTGAAAGTGGACCAATAATTGAGTATCACAAAAAAAATGTTTGAAAATTTTTGGGTCATGATTGAGCATTGAATTGAAGAAGACATATAAGAAGAAAATGATTTGATTTGGCTAAGATTGAAAGAAATTGGATGAGTTCAAAACAAATAATCAAGTTAAAAATCAATTAAGGATCTAATTGAAAAACAAATTGACTTTAAAATAAAGATTGGAAGAAGTAACGACTAAAATGAAAGAAATAAAGAAATTAAAGGAGTCTTCCTAATTTAGCTAGGGGAGAAATCGAAAGAAATTAGGAAAAAATGAGAAAATTAACCAAAAAAATAGAAGTTTAGAGATTGAAGAGCAAAAGGTATTGAAATAGGAGGACTTGTCTTAAATTTTGCTTAATTCATTTAGGAAACCTAATTCTAATTAAGGAAAATAAATGACACTATTTCACTTAATGTGAAATGATTGGTTTTGCCTAAATTAGAAAAGGACATAATGACATTATTTTACTTAATGTGAAATGACTTGTTTTGTCTAAATTAGAAAAGGACATATTATGAAGATTCAAAGCAAAAATGTCATTTTGTTCCTAAAAGTTTGTAGATTTCTGGTAATTGAAGAAGATAATAAAATAAGATTTTCGGTAAAATAGGAGGCTTAAACTAATATGGCAGTCATTCTATCTTTATATATATAAATAGGGAAACATATAGATGATAATTTAGACCATACTACATAGAATAAATCTATACAAGAAAATTATAATATTTCATATAATATAACATATTCCATAATACACCACCTCAAGTTGAAGGAGGTGTTCATATGAAGTTTGGACTGTAAATAAATAAAAGTAGAATGAGATAACAGCTTAAAAAGAATATCAACCTATTGGTCATTGGAGGATATGAAATGAATCTGAATCTCTTTTTTAGCTACTTATCATTTTTTAGCTACTTATCATGAACTAAGTGATAATCAACTTCAATATGCTTTGCATCACACGTCCCCCGCGCGACGATTCAACAATTTTCATTATCTTACTTGATTTGAGAGTCGCCACCTAGTATTTAACTGAGGGCTACTAGAAAACCCAGGTGCGCTAATCTTTGTCAAATATTTAAGGTAAGGGACTGATAATGACTAAGAAAGATATTAATACCCCTAGCACACCCTATTTAAGGTAAACTGCTTTATGTTTCATGTGATTTGAAAATTTTAAATGTTAATCAAATTCTAAGAGTTCAATAAATTAGTTATTAAATCCTACAATATATGTAAAAACATGTTCTTATATTTTCATGGAAAATACAAAATGATTTTATATGTCCTTGAGGTATTTGACCATATTCAAATTAAACACTTAATTCTTTTTGTCTTTTTGATTTTTATATAATTCAATAACATAAAAAAAATACAAACACACATACACACATATTTTTTTATTATGATTTTCTCATGCACCATTTTTGACAAGTAAAAAAAAATAATAAAATTCAAAAATCAAATACAATTTACAAATTACAAAATAAACCCCCAAAATTTACAAGAATGGTAGAGAAGTCCTTCTGCAACTACAAGTATAATGACTGGAGGGCTTTTAGGCATCTGAATAGTATGACATGTCTTCTTCACACACCACCGTCACTAGTAGTGCGTGGGTTCACGTGCCACCGTGAAAAACAGGAAACAGGGGGTCTGTAACAGGCCCCTTTGCTCTTCCATTCCTTACCGGCGGTGACACCCACCGTCACCTGCAAGAAGCAAAAATACAAGTAGTTGTTTTTAATATTCTTTACTTTTTCACTGATCTGTTTTTTTTCTCCTTCAGATCTGCTTTTCTCAGGTCTTTCTTGGTTTGTTGTTCTTTCTTTCTTCTTCAAGTGGCAGGTCATGGTGGATGCGGACAGCACTGGCTTTGAGCTGATGTTCTGGTCGTTGCTGTTGAGTAAGTGGGAGTTGTTGCCCGGTCGGTAAGTTCGGTGTATTCTATCGTGCTTGGGTTGTTGGATCTGGAGCCAAGCTTTGTTGCACACGCCGCAAACAGGCCAGGCGTGTGGATGGCTAGATCAGCAACTTTCTTCCTTCTCTTTCATTTCTACAATGACGGTGGTGTCTACCGCTGCCATGGTTGGGAGACCAGCACCCTTAAAATCTTGCTTTTCTACCCCCTTCTACTGTCCTTCGGCCTCCCTTCTTATTTCCCTATAGTCTCTATAATGAGCTGCTGGAGAAGGGATGCTACTGCTGGCCAGTTGATGGTGGTTGGCCGAGAGAGGGTCTAAAGTCTGTTGATGAGGGAATAGATGGCATTCCCGGTTGGGACAGTCGGCTGAGAGGGGGGAATGGAGGATCTAAAAATGTCAGGGGTCCTTGGCTATCTAGTTGTGGGAGAGGAAAAACTAAGGACGTCGGGGGACACTAGATGCGTTTTTAGAAAATGAGAGGGGAGCTGCGTCTTC